TATTGTATGTTTACAATCTTTTGTCACAAACATTATTTTTAGGTGATGTTAGATTAAATAGCAAAGTAAATGACCCAAAAATGAACCACATCAGACTGAAAAAATAACTTGTTTTGATTATTACTATATTAGAAATTATTGTAAATTTCTCCATTGTGAGATCAATAAACTTTATCTAATCTCAGAGGACTTCATGAGTCAGATTCATGCCCATGTCGGGGGTCCCGGCCTGACACGTTTGGGGACCTCTTTTCTAAAACTCTATATTTTTTCAGAACAAACTATTTCATCACCAAATAGAGTCATTTTCACAATTCCTAATACTGTTTATGCATTTACTTCCCTGTAAATGTCACAATAATATCTCTCAACAAATGTGTTGAAGTTTGTATGAAGAAAACAGAATTGAAGAATATATTAGTAATTTATTATTGAAGGAAATTTGATTTAATCGATTATTTGTTACAGCCTTAAATTGGCCTGATCGAACCTGGGGTAAAGCTACTTGTCGAAGTGGCTATTTTCCACCCTTTTTTCATCCCATTTCATGTCTAGCTAACTTTACATTAAAAAGCCAGTCTGCACATTTATATCAGTAAACTTCAAGTGATGTTTAATTTAATTTTAATGATACAATCTTATCCTGCGCTAGACATATTCCACTGTCCAGTACTTCAAAATAGCCACTCCGTATCTGAGGCGTTTCAAAGAGCTTCAGATAGTACCGCTGTGGTGTGAATATTTTGCATAATGATTTCAATACTTTGGCTTCTGGGCACGTTTAGCTCTTTGTGAGATCGACAAGTACGTAACTGCATATTTTCATAAGATTAAACAATAATTTCCCAACATCTAGAAGAAAGAGGTCAAATATCGCCCAATATTTCACAATTTTTTAGTTGACGACTTCTTATATTCTTGCAATTTAGTTGGTCAAAATATATTTCCTGCAACATTGAAAGAGTTTGACCCAATTTATTACACAGCTGCAGGTAAAAGCTTCCTGTGTAACGTGAAAGTAGCATATTTAATTTAAAACCAAATAGGGATGATTCGCAAGATCTTTAACAAAATCTTCAGGGACACCATATGCAAAATTAAAAATGCTACGCTAACATCAGGCACCTCTGGCCCACCCCTTCTGTCTAAAAGCTCCCGTCTCAAACATGTAATGATATCATGTTGTTGTCACTCTCTTACATCCTCAACATTGTTATCTTGTCACAATCGCATGGCTGTGTTTGAAGCCGGTAGTTTTCCACACAAAATTTTTTAGAAAACAACAAAAACATATTCAACTGCTCCCTCTGGTGGTCGCATAGGGAGTTACATGCAGATAGAACGTTTCGAAGCATCTGTTGCCATATATTATCTCCTACAGGGGTAATTTCACTTTCTAAATTGTGAAATGACAAAGTAACAAGTCTCAAGTCTTTAAATAAAATTATATTGACAGTGTTTTGTCAAGTTTATATAGTAAGCATACAGGAAAGGTTTGACGGTAATTGAGTCGTTTGAGCTTGTGCTAAAACAAAAGGAGTCACTCTGAAAACCCCAGGGGACGATCTTCACACGGCGCTCACTTCTTCACGTGACATCGTCGTGAATTGAAGTCCACAAAAGAACACAGCGGAAGTTGGATTCCATTAGTTTCTTGTCCTACTCCATCAGGAGAGTTTTGTGACGCTGAATCCTCCAACTTATATAATTATATTCTCCTTTAAAGTTGATTTCCAACATCAAAGGGACAATATAGCCTTTGAAGTAGCATGGGATTGGATCACTGTCTAACCCACTCTTTAAGATTCTGTCACAATGACATTAGGCCAGTCATGTGAATTAAAAGACTGGAGCTCAACAGCTTTTGCCTTTGCTCTCCGTCCAATTTCAATCAAAATGTCATGCTGTGCCATTTTCCCTCAGTGTGGACCTGGCAACTGTGTTACGGCCACAACGTCTGTGACTAATATGTAAATGATATGACTGTTACACTAAAAAGGATTATCAAAATGTGAATATAACTTAAATATTGTGTTTTATAGGCTTTTCATGTGGAATATACATATTGTGATTTGTCAGTTTGAAGACCTTGATGTTTGTAAAGCTTTCATCATCATGACAAACAACAAAGATGGCCTACATGTCAATGTAAGTTGACCTATATTTAAAGCTCCAAAAATATTTCCAGCTTGCCTCGTGTTTAGCAGTTAGCTGTACTCTTGTTCGTAATAACTGAGTAATACTAACCGGTTTGTCTTGATTTAGACATGAAACACTTCAGTTAATAATGTGGTGGCCATCTGTCTCTCTTTGAGTTATCCACATATGTTTTATGAAGGCAAGATTTCCCCTCGACTGAAGCCTTCGGTAATGGTATGGTATGTGACTAGTTTTACAAATAGGTGTACTGTATGTATTTGTATGTCCAACTGTCTCACCCACGTTTTCATTCAAATGTAAGAAAAGTTCCTTAAAATCTAAATATTGTAAATGTGGACTGTGGCCTTCGCGACTCCAACTTGGGACTAATGCAAGACACAATATCCAAGGATTCAAATGATTAAGGTGCGCCTCTGCCACATCAATCTTGTTTGGACTAGTTTAATATCTCTGGTTGTGCGTCTTGAAATGACTCACATTGTCATATTAAAACACACACACATGCTTTCTGAAAAACTGAAATTTAACGCAAGGTGAACTGTAGCCAGACCATTGCCTCTGCTCCAAACTTTAATTCCAAATATGTCAAAGAATAAGAGAATTGACGAAGAATCAATTACAGCCTTGTGTATAATACTGTGGCTGTTTTTTAATGACAGTGTTTTGCTAAATTCACCACCAAAGTTTTCACACTTTTTCACACATTGAACTATCCTGAACTTTTGCCTTTTCAGTCCATGGTGTTAATTAAAACCATTTGGCCACATCTCCTCCTTTTGGGCTCCTTTCACTGAGACAATGGCTTCTTAAGAAAGCAAAAAGGCGCATGTATGCATGTATGTATGTTTGCTTTGTGCTCTGTGTTCAAACTTGCGCAGTGTAGTAACAGACGCAGTAGAATAACGCTATTGGCGCGGAAGATCACTTACTTCTGACGCTCAAAAGCCTCAGGGAGTCGGCTAGAGATTGCCAGCCTTTGATAAGGTCCTGGCTCTCGTGTAGATCCATTCTCTGTCTACAAAAGTTCACACCGCGCTTTTGAGAACACCACTACCCACACAACAAAACACATACTTGTCTATCATCGCGTCAAATTTACCAAACAAAATTAAACACACGTTTTTAGTCGCGTTTCTGCGCATTTACGTCCTCTTACAGCGGCAGTTGCGTGTCGTTTTTTTATGCATCTTCCGGGACCTGGCCAGCGGTGTCTTACTTTGAAGTCCGCAGTAAAACCTAGTAGCGTTTGAGAAACAGCCTGGAGTAGCCCAGCGCCTGTGTCCCGACTCCGCAAAGCAAAAACAAAATAAACAAACCTGGGCTAGACACAGCACGAAACAGCCGAACCAGTGCCTTTTTTTTAACACACACGGACTAATATTTGATTTTGCCATTTTTGCTTAGTGTCGGTCTCGAACCCGCGTCGTACCCTTACAGACAGTGTTGTACCACTAGCCAGCGCCGTTGTTGCTGGGACTACTTTATTTAGTTTTATTTTGCTAATCAGGGGAGGCTATTGGGCTACATGGATGGTAAGTTGTCGGAAAGCTGTTTCTCAGACCCCCTCTTCTCTCGGCCGCTTTGATGTGCCGCTGCTGAGCTTTGAAGTTGAGAAATGCGGGCTATGTTTCTTGTTTGTGGGCGAGAAATACGGTGAGATAGATAAGAAGCTTATGTGTGTGGCTGTGTGAATGTGTAGACCAGATAAAAAGCGAATATTTGTCGGATCTCGCTGGGAAAAAGTGGGTTGTATTCCACACGGTCGAAGTCCTCCTTCCCCCTCCTCCTTCTACCCCTCAAGATTTTGACACCCCCAGTGATAGCGCTCAGCCTGCCTACTCTTGGGGTCAGTGTTGAATGGGACAGGGTACATGAAACTACAGTGTCTGTTTTGCACTGGCACGGCACGGGACACATGTGGATCTGCTCGTATTTGGCGCAGGACTAAGCGATCGTTTAGGTTTTCGTTGTTTGTGGACTATACTTGTACTTTTGTGTACGGATTTTCCCCACTACTGGTGCCTTCTGCAATGGTATGTAGTCGACTTTTGAGTGGATTTGTGTCTTGATTTATTTCTAAGTTTTTCCACGACTCGCGTTATCTCTGTCTGTTTCCATTCAAACCATATCCAACATTTATTACGGTTATTCCGATGTCTCTTGTGTTAGTTTGAGCAGGGCACCACGCGTTTGACTTGTGCAATACCGCTCTAATCGCCTATAACAGCCTGCTGGAGTCAATCGGTCGCTTACATTACGCGTTTCTCCCTCTGGGGCTTTTCTCCGCTCGCACACTACACGGTTTAAGGTCACCGTGGAGCATCAGATCCAGCGGGGTCTGTGCGGGACCAGGGAGCCGCGGCGCAGGGAGGTGAGGCTGAGGCAGACAGTGGCGCTGCGTCCGAAACAGATTGGGATTTAATTGGAGTTGAAGCCTGTGACATGGACTCGTTAAGAAAACACGTGTAAGCCACAGTTGTGAGGTTTTAAAGAGGAGTGAGCGTCTGTGCGTTGATTATTCTTGTAAAAAATCTGTTGTGATGTGACAGATCAATACACGCAGAGAATGTAGGCTGCAGTTGATCTCTCATTTAGATTATAAATAGATAAATGAAACGAAAAAGGCTTTCATATTTCCTTTCTCTGAACCCTGTGAGGGTTTTGAAAGGGGCTGTTTACTTGATGTCTTTCTTTGAAGTTCAGCAGGATCTGGCTTTGATTAGATCAATACTTTGTGTTTCAGAGTGAAGAGGAGCTGAGAAGCTCCCCCGCTGCTTTTAGAGAGTGAGGAGGATTAGGCTGGAGCTCACTCACTCTCACTCACCACCGGAGCCAGAGCCATGAGCAGGGCACTAACGGAGCACATCCACAACAGCTTCAGAGAAGATGCCCCTCGTCCTCCGGTACCGGGCGAGGAGGGAGAGGCGCCATGCCACAACCCAAGCCGCAAAATGAGAGCCCAGAACAAGGTTAAAGACAGCCCCGCTCCTGGCTCCACGCCGCGGAGGAACGAGGATGGGCTGGGGGAGCCAGAGGGAAGCGCGTCCCCAGACTCGCCTTTAGTCCGGTGGACAAAGTCTCTGCATTTTCTTCTGGGGGACCGAGACGGTGCTCACCTTTTCAGGACCTTTTTGGAGCGGGAGAACTGCGTGGACACTCTGGACTTTTGGTTTGCCTGTAACGGCTTCAGACAAATGGACTTAAAGGATACCAAAACCTTACGAGTTGCCAAAGTTATTTTCAAGCGGTACATTGAGAACAACAGCATAGTCGCCAAGCAGCTCAAACCGGCCACCAAGACGTTCATAAGGGATAGTATTAAGAAACAGCAGATAGACTCCTCCATGTTTGACCAGGCGCAGACGGAGATCCAGTCCAACATGGAGGAGAACTCATACCAGATGTTTCTGACCTCTGACATATACCTCGAGTACGTGCGCGCTGGCTGTGAGAATGCTGCGTATGTCAACCACAGCGGTCTGGGCAGTCTGAAGCTGATGTGCGGATATCTTCCTCCCCTTATTGAGGAGGAAGAGTGGAGCTGCAGTGACCTGAAGGCAAAAACTCTTGGGACTGTGGTTGGACTGTCTTCAAAAAACCTGAGGGCTACTGCAACGCTCCGGACAGCGGCTGATGTTCTGCAGAATAAGTGCAGGTAAGACAACTCCTGAGGTACATGTCAAAACAAACACATCAATCATGAATAATAATGACGTCTACAATTAGATCTATACAAGTATGAAAGAAAAGTGTTGTGTGGGTTTGTAATATCTTTGTTTTCATGCAAATGTGTCTTTCACTGGCTCATGAATTCCCACATTGGTCCAGAGCAGTGGATTTGTGGCAGGTTATTTAAGAAATGCCTAAGAGAAAGATAAAGGCAGCTGATCAAAGGGTCTCGGAGGAGCATGCCTGTATATTTGTGCCCTCCTGCCTTGCAGTTAGTCAAGGGTTTGGAGGGGTGGAGGGGCGGGCGGCTACAAAACATCAATGGATCTGAGCCTTCCTTTTAAGTAAACGGTGTCTTGAAGGCAGCCCTCTGCTGGCTTGCTCAAGTTTCCTGTGCTTTGAAACCCTTCCTCCGGTTCAGGCATGAATACAGACACCAATCCTCACCACTGCTAACACAAAACACTATCAGTCTATTGTAAGTCTGTCTGCTCTTTATCCTATTGATTAAGCATATTGTTGTTATCCACCGTTGGAAAATCTCCTATACTCCAAGGAATGCTATTACAAAGTTAAAACAACTTGAGCGGTGGGTCTCATGCCAAGCACAGATATTGTTCTCTTGGTCGGAGATGAAAGCGGAGCTGTTTGTGGAAAGCATTTGGGCTTTTATCTTAAGCGCTCGTCCCACACATTGTCCAACAGCTGAAATCTTTTCAAGCCAAGAACATTTGCAAAAATAGGATTTTATGCGCCGGCCGCATCAAAGGACTCTCCGAGAAGTTTTAACTACTTTGTCTGCACATCTGGTCGCAATTATTACAGAAAGAGAGTGAGCGTTGACAAAGTCTTTCTACTTTTCTATGTGGTGTGGAAGAAAAGTATCATTTTGGTTCAGGTTAACCTAACATTTACAAAAGACGGCGTATCAGTTCTAACCTTTCGCACTCAGAGTAAAGGAAGTGCAATAATTCGACTTAACTCTCCCAGTAGACGTGCGTTTATCACAGGGCACATGTCACTGTACAATTATTGATTCGCTCAAACGCAGCGAGCGAAGCCACCGCCACTCAGCACAGGGGAGTTGGCATGTGCACATCTCCTAGATTCTTGTTTTTCGCTCAAAGCACAAGGCCCCCACCCCTCTCACTCTCCCCCGCTGCCCCTTGCCATCTCTTTAGGTCAACCAATTTCCATTTCAAACATGTGGAACTAATTTCACACCACTGCAGACCTCTTCTTCCTAAAGTTTCTCCAAGAAACCAAACAACTCCAGCTGTAGATTCAACTATATGTATTGTTTTTCACTTTTAGAGTTTGTTCTTGATACTTCCTTCTTACTGGCTGCTGTTGGAGGGAGAGTAGATGTGGGGAAAGACAAGAAAGGGGGAGAGAGGAAAGGGGGGGGGGGGGGGGTGTCCAGAAGAAAAGGGATGAAGACAGGGAGAGTTGGTGGGGGTGCGCAGAAGAGCCCAGCTGTGCTAAATACCTGACTCTTTGCATGGAGCTTCCAAAGGTCAGGTTTGTGCTTGGGGCCTCAGCTTTAGTCATGCTGGGTTCTCCTCTCGGCAGAAGGCATTCTCATAAAGAAAGAGGCCCTCCTTCCCCTTTTCTCTCCCTCTCTTTCCCTCTTCCCTGCTCTCCAAAGCTCAAGTTCCCCCTTCACGAGTGCAACAGGAATGCAACGCAGCAGGAGAGGGGAGAAAAATACAGGGGAGAGAGAGAGAGAGAGAGAGGGAGGGAGGGGCCCCCAGACCGGCTGATAGTAAAAGAGAGATAGGCACGGGAAAATACAACGCTATGACAACAGGAAAGTAGAAAAATATGTGCACAGTATGAGGTTTTGTTGGGTGTGCAATGGCTAAAGTTGTAACCGTGAAAATTTGGCCTATAATTGAAATCCGACTATTTCTACATGTGTATTTACCTGAAAAATTATAGAACCTTATCGGTAAAACGTACTTTTTAAAAACTTGTGTGGATTAGAAAAGGGTCCGACTTTGCCGAAATATCCAGCGCACACCCGGTTTCTTACCTGAAGAGTAAGATTATTCAAACATTGATTAAACAGACAGCCCTAGGTGGATCTGCAGTGATGGCAGTCAATTAGATCAGCTTTTAGTAATGAATAACAAAGAAAATTCTACTTTAAAAGCATTGATGTGACCCTGTGGAATGTTTTGGAAGTTATTAGTCTACTTTTCAGATTGTGTTGTCTTGTTTCCAAAAGCTCTTTTAGGAAATCAATCGATCCACGCGTCCATAGAAACACTGTTTGAGGGAACATTCCTTAACCTCTAAACATGAATGAAAACAGATCAAAAGAAACCCGAAAGTCTGCTCTTAAAACGATATCTGACCACATCTGACTCCTCTCTGTGCAGATCGAACCGCAGAGGAGACCCGGTCAGCCCTTACTTTGTCAACTCTGGCTACATCTTTGCCCCCGCCACCAGTGCCAACGACAGCGAGATCTCCAGCGATGCCACCACAGATGACTCCATGTCCATGACCGATAGCAGTGTGTAAGTATCCCCATCCCCCCGTACTTTTACAATGCCTTTTCTCCCTTTTTTTTTTTATCCAGTCAGAGCTTTCCAAGAAACTAGGCTAGAGGTGTGAGAAAGTCTTTGGCCTAGCAGTGCAACATTCTCAGCTTTGGGAGCGTAGCGTTGGGAAGTAATGGATGTAATGTATTTTAATTAGCCTCTATTATTGACTCCAGGTAATTCTATTAGCGTGCAGTTGTTGCTTTGGCCTCGAGGGGGACAACTCTGGCAAAGTCATTACGTCTGAAGACCTTTTGAAGTTTATTCTGATGCGTTGCAGACTGCGCGAGCGAGCAGCGGAAAAATCTGGGACCGTCTTGATGTGGGCGGGGGCGTCACCTCATTCTCCTCCAAAGTTGAAATGTATCTTTCCCACCCACCCTTCTGCCACAACAGACTTGTTTTTTTCATATTATCTAATCGCTTTTTCCCTTTGAAGAGCTGGAGGAGAGCGGGGGGGGGGGGGGGGCTATGGAGGGAAGTGACCATTCAGGCCTCAAGACAAACTCATTGAAAAATGTTGGCACCAAATGAAAGCTGGCTTACTCACATGGTGCCTCAGTTTCCTGCCACTGGCCTCGCTGCGTGCTGAGATCATGTGTCTGCAAGGCTTTCACACAGGTTAGGCTTTCTAGACCTTTGCGGACCAGGCGGAGAGGAACTGTGCCCCTCACCCAAACACTCACCTTACCCCCGCACCGGCTCTCCGCTGCACCCTTCGGAGCCCAAACCGGTACGAGGTGAGGTGCACAGTGCAGGGGAGCGAGAAAATAAAGTGCACAGAGTATAAAGGGCTTAACTGAATCGCTTTCAGCCTATTGTTAGGTGAGGGGAGCTTAGGGGGATAAGAGGGTGGCTGGCCGCTTTGAAAATGACTTGCACAACTGAATAGGAGATCCCCCCCCCTCAAAAAAAAAAAAAAGTACAGGGCCCCTTCTTCTCCAACCTTGCCCCAAACATCCAGCAGTCACGTGACCGCAGCGCATACAGGGAAACTTTGGATAGACGCACATACACACAAAAAATGAGTTTGGCTGGAGTCGTTGGGAATGATGTTTCGGAGCCAAGTTTTGGTTTCTTGTTAGCGCTGGAGTTCCTGTGGGCTGTGGAGGATAAACTTTTGAAGAGTTTCCTGTGTTTCTTCCTGAACCGTGAGGGAGGACGACCTGTTATCCCAAGGGTGCAGTCATTTTGGTTATGCTCCAGCCGGGTGTACTCTTAAATGTGGCTTTTACAGTGCCTTTTTTTAGGCTAATGGCAGGATGAAAAATGTCCCTATTGCGAGCCAATGTCATTGTTTTTTTTTAGTTGCGCGATCAAAGCCGCAGATCTGTCACGTCCTTGTCCCCTGCTCAAACCGATATTAGCGCAAAACACAGCGACTTCAACGGCGAGGAACATTTTTGATTAGTGTGCCATTGTGGTTTAAAGGCACAGCGCACATTTGAATCTCATTCCACAGACACAAGAACAAGAAGCAGAGGATTTGGGAAGCGGGGTAGCAGAAGGGGGCGGGGGCTCTCTTTTTTGCTTATATCTTATTTATGGATTTACTTGGACACTGGGGAATGCTGCTGCACCAACTTCAAACATTACCTTATCTTACAAACCAGCCTTTTGATGTTGCCGAGATCAGAGGAGCACAGCAGAGCGCTTGCCAAACGAAGATGGCAGCGGGTGCATATGTGCATGAGTGTGAGATTTCAAAGAGGCAGCCGAAAAAGTAGCGTTTGGGCTAGGTCAGACACTTCTGAGCCTCCAAAATGGCCACGATAATTGGCCCAGCTTAAATGGCAGCTGACTGGAAAAGCTCGCAGAGACAGAAGGAGAAACGGAGAATAATGTGCCCGGAATAAACGCCTAATTGTCCTGAGACGAGCGGAGGACGCTTTGACTGTTTTCATTTATTATGAAAGGGCTACAAATGCACGACTCGGGCTGAGGCTAATTGTAATTATTGTCATTTGTGTATGTCACGGCTAACGGGGTGCGATGTTATCTTATGAGAGGGCCCCAGAGTTTAACATATCTGCTCATTGTCCTGTCGTGTTTTGTTATGTGGCCCGCTTCAAGGGCGCCTCTGGCTTTTCATTCACTAGTAATGGACCTAGTGGGTGGTTAGCGCCTTTGTTGGACTGGTCACTTCACAGCTAAATGGACTCCCTCCCTTCTTCTTTTTGATTGAAGATGATCATTCATTAGCGCCGACGTGTTAATGGCGGCCTTGTTCAGAAGTCCGGCTTGCCTTAACTTCAACCAATCAATCGAGACGTGTATTTCAAAACTTGTCCAACACAATTTTATAGATTCAAGACTCACACATTTAATGCATAGACATAGATATTTGGACAAGAATGTCAAAATAAATACAGTACAACAGTAACCCACTACAGTAGTTTTAAGACAACACAACACACACACACACACAGAGAAGACACGGACTGGCAAAAAAACTCTCCGACCCTTCACCTTTCTCGCACTGTGCTGAAGGCATCGCTCTGTCCTCCACATACGCCTTCAGTGCGTCTTTTTAAAACAGTTTTAAAAATGCAATCAGGTTTCAACATGTTTTAAAATCAACTCATAATCCGTACCTAAAGTTCATGCCGTACCAAAAGCTAAATCGGGCTGTGAATTTCTTTTTTACAGAGACGGGATTCCACCGTACAAGCTGGGCACCAGGAAGCAACTCCAGCGAGAGATCCATCGCAACCTCAAGATCAATGGCCAAGTTTCGCTGCCACACTTTCCTGTAAGCATTTCTCCTTTGTAACTTCTATTTTCTTATTCGGGTTTTCTCATTTTTTTTGTAATCTGCTCCAAACTTTTACCCGCTGACAGTCAACCGGGTCCTGATTCCCCCGAGGATCCCGACTTATTTTATTAATATATTATTTTCAGAGCGAATGTTGTGACAGAATACTATATTTCACTTCTTTGCTCATTTTCATATAAAAGCCCGGGTAAATGAAAGAAGCGAATTTGCATATATTTACACCCTACTGTTTCTGTAGGCTGTAAATATAAACCACTGCAGGCATCTTTGTATTGCCTCTGGTGTGAAAGTGTGGTGTGTGTGAAGAGTCCTTGATAAGATAGGGTTTTAACGTGGCTAATTACCATCATTACCCAGGCTAATGTGGGGATTTTGATATTTAGATATGTTTAGAGCATTTATCGTAACACTGGCGTTTGAGTGGGTGGATTAGAAGGTCGCCATTAACCACAGGGATTATGTTTCCTTAAGAATCAGTTTTAGCAGTCTCTCAATACATTTCTCCGATCTTTTGGAAGTTTATGTTTCTTGGGTCGATCTATCCGTACAATAAGAAAAAGCTTATATGATATTGAGTCTTAACTTTTCACATATTTAAGAGTATGGTTGTGGTAACAGCCAGGTGCTTAGTCCTAGTGCTGCTGGCTCTTAGGTAAAAACAGGCAGTTCTTTTGTCTGATATTCAAACACAGGTAGTGTGTGTGTGTGTGTGTGTGTGTGTGTGTGTGTGTGTGTGTGTGTGTGTGTGTGTGTTTGTGTGTATGTATGTGATGGTGTTGTCTGTTCCTCTCTGCTCTCATTCCTGTGCCTTTCTCTCCCACTTGCTCTGTTTAATGTCTCCCTCCTGATTTGGAGATGGCTCTGTCTCCCCTGATGCAGCAGCCCCAGGCAGCGGGGGCCCCGTGCAGGGCTGGCGCTCCTTTGCCAGCAGCTCTTTCTTCTTCTTCCCTTTATCGTGTCTACAAAGAGATGAGAGGAACAACAAAAAGAGAGTCAAAATCAAGAAAGCCAGTGTGCCAAATAACAAAAGTGAGAGAGAAAGAAGCGGTGCATATAGTTAAAGAAAAGGCAGATAAAGTGAGCAGAGTACCTCTGAGCTGCCCCGCGTGCAGTCAGAAGTAAATTACTACTTCTCTTCAGATCTTCCCAGTATTTGACTCTCCCATCCGCTCGCTCCCTCCTCCTCCATCTGAGCCACCATTGCCACTTCACAAATGCACATCTCAATCCTCTTCCTCTTTTTTTTCATGCTGTTAATTTTGTCCCCCTCTCGCTTTCTCCCCCTCTCTTCACTCTCTCCTCGCTGTCGATATCTGGCTTTTATTCGGAGATTTAAAGCTGCGTGTCCCTCCCACCCCTAGTGTGCGTTTGATGTTTGACAAGGGCCCTTTGAAGTGTGCTGACTTCAGAGGCTGCAGAGCTGATGACTTGGTTGGGCTACAGAGGGTGCAGGCAGGGGGCCTCCCCTCCGAGCGAGACCAACTGCTACCCCAGCACCACTACCCCTTTCCTCTCCCTCGCCCCCAGCCTGGCACTGCCAAGGGCACTGGGCATGATAAGATCTGGGGCAGGACAGGCGGGCGAGAGGGCGCAGGTTAGCCACAGGGCAAGGGCACCGAGTCATTTTGGAGGAGTTGCAGGCTTTTGGAACAAGATTAAGAAAAAGACAGTGTATTAATGTAGCATTGCATCTGTCACAAACACTAATGAAATGGTTGTCTCCCCACAGAGGACGCACCGGTTGCCCAAAGAGATGGCACCAGTGGAACCTTCTGCATTCGCGGCGCAGCTTATCTTGAGACTGGAGAAGTTGAAGAGAGAGCAGGACACTATGAGTTCACTGGAGGAGCGGCTACAGCTGATCCAAGAGGTACCAACTCGCAAACACAACTTTGTCTTTTGAACAGAACTCTGTTTAGCTTCTGTTTGAAGCAAAGTTAGCTTGAGACAAGGGTCTGTAGTGCACTACAGAAGCTTTCATGGCAGCTTTCACATACCCAAGAAAAGGCAAAAGAAATTTAAAAGCTTGGCTTGGTTACTTCTGTGTCGGCTTCCATTTAATGTGTGGGAACATTTCAACTTATGCTTCTAGACACACTTGAAGTAGCTTCAAATAGTTAGCACTTAGCAGCTCTCCAGTGGCACGTTTGCTGAATATGTGTAGTGCCAGTCTCCTTGTGAAGCACAGGCACACTCTGCATTATAGATGAAGCGCACCCAAAGCCTGTTAGCCAAGATAACAGTACAGCAAAAAGAAACGCTCAAATCATGTTATCCAGCGTTAGCTGCAGCACACTTCAGAGGGGGATAGAACTTGGTGTAAGTTGAGACACACATTTCTCAGTTTTTGCTTCTCTGTGACGCCTGATGTGTCCATTGACCACACCGTCTTTTCTCTCAGGAGGAGGAGCGAGAGGACACTGGGGAGCTGAGTACCTCTGCCCTGACCCACCCTCTACTGCCCTCTCACAGTCAGGAGGAGGACCCACAGGCTATCCTGGACGAGCACCTGTCCCGTGTCCTCAAGACCCCCGGCTGTCAGTCCCCTGGCGTAGTACGTTACTCTCCCCGCTCCCTCTCCCCTGATCGGACCCCTTCCTCTGGGACCGGCTCCTTCTTCAGCGCTTACCCCGCCACACCCAAGCTCCACTCCGCGGGCCGCCAGTCCTCCAAACACATCCACCACCACTACATCCACCACCACCACGCGGCGGCCAAGACCAAGGAGCAGATCGAGGCTGAGGCGGCTCAGCGTGTGCAGTGCCTCTGCCCTCCAGGGGGCGCTAACTACTCCGACTACACCCCTGCGTAAGTGTCAGGGCATTTTGTCCTTTTCCTCTGACCTGCAAATGTCCAACGTCTCACCACATGTTTTGATTTCAGGCGCTGCAGCACTTTGTCCAAGCGGCCCCTGAAGGCCACCGAAGACCCCCTGTCCCCACCGCACCTTCCTCTTGACGTCACGGATCGCTCCCAAAACGTTTGGCAGTGGATCCTGGAGAGCGAGAGGCAGGGCAAGCACAAGCCACACAGGTAGGTCCTCTCCTCACACCATGTCCCGGCACAAGCGTCTCATGTGGAAGCTCATTTATCTCTGCTCTGACAGCACTCAAGGCCTGAAGCCGCTGCCCGCCCGGACCCACTCTTCATGGGGTGGAGGCGGGATCGGTAGCGGGGCGCACCTCCGCGGGCACCATCCAGGACACCCTTTCATCCAGGACCCGGCCATGCCCCCCCTGCCCCCACCCAACACCCTGGCCCAATTGGAGGAGGCCTGTCGCAGACTAGAAGAGGTTTCCAAGCCCCCCAAACAACGGTACACTAGCACTTGTGCATTCATATCAGCAATACTATGTTTGGTTTTTTGTGTCTGAATAAAAACTAATCATATTTTTCTCCTTTTAAAAGGCATTCAACTGGAGCCAACAGCCTTCAGAGAGAAAGAAGTCACCCCGCAGCTTCGCTTTCTTCTGGAAGCAGTTCACTAACCAGCCCTGGACTCCAAGCAGACGAGTAAGGCTCTTTCAAACCATCTCTATAGATCAGAACCTACATAAAGCCCCTTGCTTCATCTTAGGCCCGCTCTAGCCACCATTGTAGCTCTCCTCCTCCTCCTCCCAGATTCTCCTCTCCAAAGAAAGATGTTGTGAGTCAGCATAGCAACGTCTTTGAACTCCTCGCTCTTATTTTTTTTTCTTTTTTTAATCATTTAAGACGCTTTAATGCTGAACACTAACTACCCACCCTTGCCACACTCACTCACTCACACATGACTGTAAACCACTAGCATGAGAGCATTAGCGCATAGTGAACCCTGGAGCTGGGCCAGAGCAGGAGTTCTGTCGATATTCTGTCCTTCTGCTTAGGCTCGGTTTAAAGTAGAAGTTTTTCGTTGGGATTTTTGAAGATGTAAAGCAATATTTAGCCTATGGTTCCTAGCTAGCAGTGCATTGATATTGTCCTCAGGCTTTGTCATCGCACGTACACGTCCCTCCTGCTGCTAGCAACAAAATACAGTGACTTAAATCATACTGTAGCCTAACTAACCATTGTGTATTTTTTGTTCCCAGGTCAAAAGAGCTCGTGGTCACCTACTTCTTCTGCGGCGAGGAGATCCCTTATCGAAGCATGTTGAAGACCCACTGCCTCACACTTGGACACTTTAAAGAGCAACTTAGCAAGAAAGGCAACTACCGGTAAATATCTATTCATTGTTTATTGTACAGTGGAACGAGAGCAGTGTGTGCGTGTGTTGTCAAAGCAGTCAGTTCTATGGAAGGACAAAGAGAGGGGGAAGCAGAGTGGATTTTTTTTTTTTCTCACATCTGGTACGGATTTTCATGGTAAGGCCGCCTTAATAAATGAGCTTTGAAGCTTGAGCCATTTTATTTAGTGCACAAAGGCTGTTGCCGGGCTGTTTCTGAGGCCTCCTCCACACGATTGCATCAGGTTTTAAAATCAAAAGCTGGAAGCATTTTGTACTCCTAATGACAGATGTATACATTTTGCTACGAAACAAGGGATTTAAAGGACTCTTAGCTTAAACGGTTTTGGTTTGTTCTGTGTACACGGCTAATAAGTTGCTTGAGGTGAGGAAAAATCATTCAACATTGACGGTTTTCACTTGTTTAATTTTTATGCAGTGATGAAGTGTATTACCATTCGTCTTTTAGCGCTTTGATTGACCTTGGTCTGTGAAAATGCGTTTTACATTTCTTACTTGCTTTTACATTATTGGCAGTACATGACAGTGATAAAGTGGCAAAAGATGGATATTGCAATTTACCTTTTTAGGCCCAAAACTAGTCAAGTTTTTGCATGAGCTCCCAAATCCAGGACACTTTCTATACAGCGATCTAGCTTCCCACAAAAGCTTCCCTACATTTTTATACATATTTTTATTTGATCTAATTTCAGATTTCCACCTGTTTCACTTGACATTTGAGTAGGGGAAAAACACCTAAAGGGTTAATAATGAAAAGCCCAACTGCGTTTAGCACGACCTGAACCTACCAGAATAAAACATAGTGTTGTTTCTGATGGTAAATGCAACATGCAAGCCCCATAATCGTGCCAAAAGAAAAAAGAGAGAAGAGAAGAGGCATGTGAATGTGTGGAGTTCATTAGTTTGGAGATGGCAACGGTACAGGCCCAGCTCTGCCAAAACATATTAGTGCCACATGTTGCAAAGAGAAAAGCTATTATTCAGAATTCTCCTCTGGATGTTAAGGGCTTTTAAAATATTCTATTGTATTTTGTCTTTTCTCGACATTGACTTAAAGAAATAATCAAAAGGCTTCTAGTACTATTTCTGTGAAAATGACAAACAATGGCTTTTTATCTTAGCCAAAAGGAAAATCTAAAATGTCTTTCTCAAAGGCCAGCTCTGAATCTTTTGATGAATACAGTGATGATCTGAGACATTTAAGGACATGTATTAATATTGATGGATATTGCTCATCCACCCCTAGGGCCCAATGGCTCCTAAAATGTGTTATTTCCTGTTTTCACACTGTCTGTTTCTCTGATATGTTGTTGAGCAATCGACAAAGTTACAAAGTCCTCCGAGACGACACTACCGGTGCAATTTAAGGCTATACAAAAATATATAAAAATTGGCCTAAACGCAACAACACACGAGGTTTAAGTCATAAAATTTAGCCGCAAAAGTTATTCTCACCGTCCGTCTTGTCGTTTTATCCGTCATCTCCAATCATCATGGAAAATCTCTAAAGTGCACGTTTGCATCCAGCATGTTTGAACAAATCTAAATAGAGCGAAACCACAGTCGCATATATTTGCCTCTGCTTCTGCTTCTCCCGTATCGACTCGGGCTAAAAAAACAAAAAAAAGCATTGTTCCATTACAAGGCTTATCATTAAGTCGCCTCCTGCTGATATTTTGCTGGGTTTAAAGTACACAGTAGAAATCATTAGAAGTCCAGTTCACCTCCGGAACTCAGGGAAAGGATTCGACACCTGACCTCACCCCCCAAAAAAACCTCACAGACCCCCTCCCAACCTCGGTGCAGGTCCCCCCGGGCGACATCAAACACCAGTCCACCCAAAAGATTAAAACCCATTTCTGATTTTAATGACTGAAACCTGGTGTTAAGATATATATACAAATACTAGAAGTTTTTCAAGAACTACAGAATGCTTCCTTTTATCAATTAATGTCATGGCTAGTATTTTTCTCTTGTTAAAGGGCATCTATCAATCCACCAGACATGAAAATCAAACTCGCTCCTCTGTCACTAGTTTTCATGGAGTTTGGGCCTCGGTCACATCTTTAGATCAGCTTGTTCAGGCAGAAAAGTGAAAAAAAGAGGACCGCCCCCACTCAGCCAATCAGCTCTCAAGTATGCAAACGATTACATGTTTTATAATGAGATAAAGGTAGTAGTTGTTCACAAAATATGACTTTTTTTTTCAAATATTTACATGCATCTGAAACAACTAAAAAGTTATGCACCCCAACTTTAATTTAAACCAATAAGAATATTGCTACTTTACGCACACACAAGCTTAAGTATGTCAAAGCATGTCTTCTCCTTTACACTTGTACCCTGTTTTAGTTGAGCAATACTGTACAAGAGTCAAACAAATACATATTCGGCCTTGAGCTTTTTCGTAATCAAAAAATAGTCCGTGATTATGAAACGGACCGTACACGACACGCTCCGACGGATTCCTAAAAAGTGGCGGAAGCGTTGGCTTATGTCTCGTGCCGCTGACAGACTTCCCGGCACCTGAAATGTCGAGAGTGCGACAAAAAGCCGTTCATTTAGCAGCCTGCTCGATCCCAAACTATAGACGGAGGACTAAAGACAGCCTCCAATTATCCCGTCAGTCTAAATAAGAGCGTTCAGAACAGACTTTTGTTGCCGTGGCTCCGTTACATAATTGTTTACAATGAAAAAGAAGATGTTATTGCTTATTCTCCACGGAGGCTTTACGCAATCGGAGCAAGTTTCGGGTCAGGTGTGGGCCGCGTGGTGCCAGAACCTGTGATTGACTAAATTACACGTACGTCGAGTTTACAGTCGTGATGTCTCAATTCAACTACAGAATGTTTGCGATTCAAAATATAGCGTCACATTATTAAAGCTGGGGTATGTAACTTTCAACCCAGCCAAGAAAAATGGAATCATGATGTAAAATCCATCTTAGTATAGTTCCTTGCTCTCGTGACCACCCTCACTCCACCAGTTATCAGCCCAAAGCGTCAGATAGTGGCTCACACAAGTATGCAACTCACAGTAATGATAATATAATAATAACAAATCTTTACTTGTATATCACTTTTCAAAACTGTTTACAAAGCGCTGCAGTCAGCGTAATAAACAATAAAAACATAATAATAATAGTAATAATGCAAAGTCAAAATAATTAACAGTAGATACAGAACAGAAACACAAGAAGAAAGACCAAACAAAGACAAAGTGGAAAAGTCAAACTCAACACAAAGGCGTTCGATAAAAGCGTGTTTCAAGAAATGTTTGAAAAGAGGACGCCGGTGGTGTTTGACAAAGCAGTCATTTCGTTTTGAATAATTGAAGTCATTTCTCTTATACTGTCTTTTTACAGATTGATAATGATCCTATTTGTAATATGTGTTTAGTTGCTGATTCTTGTATATACTTTTGTCAACACAAGTACCTGTGATTTGGAGTTTCTTGTTGGAGAGAGGACTTTAGTGTTGGTTAGGACTCTAGTGGTTTTGCGTTGAGTTTCGTATAGACAGAAGTTCAGGAGAAAACGTGCGTGAGGTGCGATTGTGATTGCTTTCATTCTTGTGTGTGTGCGTTTACGATCCGAGTCTTTCGTCAGCGTCTTAACCGTGGCGTTTTGTTTCTCCCCTCGCAGGTACTACTTCAAAAAGGCGAGCGACGAGTTTGAGTGCGGAGCCGTGTTCGAGGAGGTGTGGGAGGACTGCGCCGTGCTCCCCATGTACGAAGGCAAAGTCCTGGGCAAAGTGGAGAGAATGGACTAGAGCCAAACTAAAACTCAAACTGTCCGGAAACAAAAACCGGAAGCTACAAATGACTCTTCACACATATGGGACGTTTTTATTTCTTAATATTAAGCTAAACAGAGTTAATATATCCAGCACAAGAGGAGAGAGTGAAGGAACACGAGCCAATGAAGTATGCCCAAACAATGACTTTTTCAACCAATCAGCCTTAGACACAAGGAGGAAGGACTTGATTAAGGATGATGATTGGAGGGCACATGGGAGAAGCCCCGCCTCCTGAGAATAACCACTGAAGACTGTTGTTGAGACTGTGGTCCAATGCACCCGAGAGCGCTTTAAGACGGCGCCAACCTGCTCTTAACGTTACACTCCGACTTTGTACGTGTGCATATACATACTTGCATATATGTATATTTACATGTATTATATATTGATGCTTTGTTGAAAGTTATATTGAGTATTTATTGAAACCCCCAGTCCCTTCTAATTGTTTGTAAACCTGTGTCCCCCGCCCCCCGTCTCCAGCCAATGGGCAAGCTGCTTTGAATGTTGGGAGAATACTGTGGTGATGTTTAGTTTATTTTGACTTTTAGTTTTTACAAAGGATATGACACTAGCCTAGCACCTCCCATAGCCTTTTAGCCCAGCGTGACCCAAACTAATGACCGGTGCCATGGTCAGTCATTCTCCAGTCAGAGACAGTCCTATATGCTGCTGATAGTTGGTCACATTAACTTTATCACACGAGCATGTCTCCCCCTCTTTTCCTCCAGCCACACAGCCCAGAAGTTTTGTTGTGCCTTTGTTTGTAAACCAGGCATTGCACGGGGGAATGACCGCAGACGACACACAGCGGAGACCTGGCACATCTAATAATGCCAGTGTTTACAGCCACAAACACCAAAATAAGTTGTGCTAACAAGAATGGTTTGGGTCACTCAGAAAGACTTCTCTAGGAAGTCAGCTAGTCTGTCAACAAAGTACAAAAACACAAAAAGTGAAGATTCAGGCGGCTCTGAATTGTTTGAATGTTTGACTTGAGCAGAGCCCGGTGTAATTATGCATCTGCAGCGATAGTACACGCACACATGACCTGTGTCCTGGACTACAGCACCTGTGCCTACATGGACCATACCATGTGTTACCCTGTTTCAGGGTTTAATATATATCCCTTGGTTTTCAGAAGGGTCTTATGTTTAAAAGATATTTTTATGCTTTTAATAATATCCTGTAATCATGTTTTGTTTTGTTTTTACACCACAGCCTTTTTTATTTCATGCTATCTTAAGTGTAAATTATACATTATATAAAGAGTTTCATTTAAAGATTTACATGGACCTATAATTATTGTAATTATTGAGAGATGTAGCCTTTATTAAAGTTTTATATTTTTCAAATGAAAACTGTTGTTTGCTGTTTTCCTAAAGATACCATGTGTTATTAATTTAGTATGTTATGGTTTTAGTCTTAAAAAATGGAGAGCTAAGAACTGATACAATGTAGTATTTTAGATTATTTAAGTATTTCCAGATTAACATTCACAAGTCTTATATAAAATCAACTGTTTTGAGGTGTCCTAAGTTCCTATGGTGAGTCAGAGAAAATGATACACATAAGAAATATGATCTTGAAATACTCACTATAAATAAACGTCTCTTAGAAAGAGTAAAAGGAAACTGCACCCACGTTGACAGTAATGAAGTCGTATCTTGCCTTATCTGAGTTTCTCTTACACCGCCTCTAATTAACAGCGCTCTGTCTGCTCCAATAAAGATGATGAGGGGAAATATCACTAATTATATGAAAGGACTCGTAATGACAGAAGCCCCGCCCACAGAGAAACCTCCAACGCAACATGAGGGGAACGTGTGAGACACCAGGATCAGGACGCAAGATTATATTCCATTCTGTGTTTAGAAATGCACCTGTAAGGAAAATAAACTGTTGTAAACGGCTTCAGAGGCGCAGAGGCTTAAGCGACTGCATGGGACCACCAAAAGAGGCACAGGTGGTCTCCTCACCCACACATCTGGACTCTGCCCCCTTTGACTAAGTGGTCATTCCAAACTTAAGAATGGAAACGATGATGAAGCTAAAGGCACAAAAGTATCACACGTGGTTGAAGTGATGTCACATTAAACTTGATTGGAAGATGTTTTTTTTTAAGTAATTTTCAACACAAAATTATATTTGTCATGTGGTCTCCTTGGAATAAACACAGTCAAATAAGTTCATACAAAACTATTATTATAGCTTTTTTACTCTGTTTTTTAAAAGCCAGGGACCCCAACTTTCATGGAAATGTTTTATATTAAACAGATTTGAGAATAACTAAATAAATAAAAATAGATATCTACAGAAAATGTTTGTAACTTCTCAAACTCTCAAAACCAATTTTTCAATCTCAAGTTTTCCTGTTTTTTTCCCTGTCACATCTTCAGATCAGTTTCACTCCAAGACGACAAAATCAGACTCCCGGGAAGGCGCGTAAGTTAAAGCACTCTTGCCTCGCAGCAAGAAGGTCCAGCTATTTTTATGCCTTTGTAAGAGGAGTTTGCATGTTCTCCTTGTGTCTGCCTATGTGTCCTCCAGTGGCTCTGATTTTCGCTACCACTAAAAACATGTACATCAGTTCAAGTCCTGACCGAGCCGAGCATCGACAACAGGAGATGGGTCCACTGCTCCTGATAGAGGCACGAGAGGCAGAGAAAGATGGGTCAAATGCACAGGACGATTTCCAAAACCATAATAATAATAACAATAATAATACATTTTATTTATATTGCACCTTACATTTCCAAAGTGCTACAGATTAAAATACAAAACCACAAACAACAAAACAAAGCAAAATAGACAGAAGTACATGAATACATCAAAAAGAAAGGGGTTAAAAGCTGATAAAAGAGTACTTCTACTACTACTAAATTATACTTATCAGGCCTATTAAGGATAGGCCTGATAAGTATAATTTAGTAGTAGTAGAAGTACTCTTTTTTTGAATTCTGAATTATTCATTGTACAATACAATAAGAAAAAACATATTTACATATATTCACATGTTCAAAAGTCGAATTCCTACCCCTTTTTACAGAATTTCAAATGATTCATCTCAAGACTGAAACTTAGCGTCTGTCTGCTGGGACCACAGACTGTAAAAAGTATGCTTTTTTAAAGAAAGTTAGGGACATGTTTTTCTTGCCGTCAGTCGCATCTTTAGATCAGCTTTTCTGACAGAGATGAACTAAAGAAATAACTTTTAACAAAATGTTTTCATTTGTTTTCGACCGTGCACAGTAGAAATTCTGTCGATCTATTCCATTAGATTTATATATAAAACCAAGTTTTTAAAAAAATTATCAAAAGGGACAAAAAGAGAGAGGGCCATGGAGATGATAGCGCATGCATCTCTCTGTCTGTATTTCATCACCGCAGTGGTCTCATTCCCCCTGAGTTTTGGATAAAAGGCTCAGCGTGGTCCAAACTTCAAAACATGATCAATGCATTGCCTTCTCCCAAAGCCTAACACCCATTTCGCTCACGCCTTTAGCCGCACAATGAGAAGCCGTAATCAGGCTGAACCGGCTCCGGAGCAGGGCAGGTGGAGCTCGCTTCTGCCACCGCCGCCGCCATCCATCCACCCATTCACCGGGCCACTTCTCTATTCTCACTGCCTCACGGGGCTCGCACTTTGAAGAGAAACCCATCCAGGAAAATTGCTTGCATTTTTCTCCCACTGAAGCGCTGATGGATGGACATTGACCGTTGCATTCCACCAAAAAACTCAAAAGTCTTCTTCAACTTGTCCCCCCCGCACATTCACTCCTCTTTCCCGCTGATGCCCCCTGTCCTAAAAGGTGCTTTGTGTGACGGTGGATTAAGTTCCGGCTTCACAGAATACTCGGCTTCCATTTTTATGCCTGAATCTGAATTTTAACTCGAACTACAAGCCTTTTCAGAGTCTGAACGTTCAAGCTCGGTCACTTCCTTTGGCCTCACACTTTCACTTCTGTATGTCCCTTTATAGTCGTCTATAGCAGTGTTTTTCAACCAGTGGGCTGTGGTACGTTGGTGAGCCTTGAGATGTGTAGTAGTGAGAAATTACCCATCACCTGCTTGGTCAAAATCATGTGAAAAGTAAGTAAGTAATGTTTATTTAAAACAGCGCATTTTACAGCCCAAGGTCACCCAAAGCGCTTTACAATTTTCTAGAGTACAGAATTTGTTCCAATCATTCCACACACGGTGATGACAAAAACGAGTCGCCGAACACATTTACATTCAAACCTATTGTGCATGTTTTTAGTGGTAGGGTAAACTGGAGCACCTGGAGGAAACTTACACAGACACAAGAAGAACATGCAAACTCCACTCAGAAAGGCCCTGTTCCTGGGATTCGAACCCAGGACCTTCTTGCTTAGAAGCGAGAGTGCTATCAATTCAATAGCCACGTGCCGCCCAAAAGAAAAAAAAATAATGTGAGATGATTAGAAAGATGAAAATGACTTTGATTTGTTAATAAATGATTTAAAGATTCAATGTTGTATCAGTTTCAGCTGGTGTTGTGCCATGATATATTTTGCGAAGACAAAGGTTGTGCCACGACTCTAAAAGGTTGGGGAACACTGACCCATAGCACACGGCAGAATCCATGTTTTGTGTGAGGCCAGACCTGCATGTGGAGGCAGAATTTCACATGTATTCAGCGAAAATATGGAACACTCTTCTTGAAAATGTGAGCGAGGCTTTGAGAATTTGTCAGATGATGGGACTGGGGTAGAGTTGGGGAAAAACAAGAGCAAAATTGGCCAGGGAGTTTTACGTAAGGTCCTACAGTTTTTAAGACGGAGTACTACACGGCAAAGCTTTGTATACACCCTCGGTTACAAATATGCTAAATTTAGTTACAGCTTCATGGAAAGATAAGTGACTTTTTTGGTTTAATGCATTAACTAATATATGTAGCGAAGAACCCAAAGAAGCGATTATACTACATTGCGAAATTTGGTCACTGAATGCTG